TGTGCCAGGGCACGTGATGAGACCATCAAGATTATGAGTTATCGTCAAATACAACGGGAAGCGGTATCGACATTGCCGGTGCCTACGGGGATCGCCTTCGAATTGTCGGTGTAGGTTAAAGAAGAAATGCTGCGGCACAGGACCCTCGACCTAATGGAGAGTGCCCAGGCCACGTAAGTTCACGCACATTCGAAATCATGCGTAAATTCGGCAGTCATGAGAGGAACACTCGGTGGGGTGACAAGCTGAGGGCATCTCCGTTCGCGACGAACTTGGTGATGCAGCTTGAGCATGCACAGCACCTCGCTGAGGAGAGGGAGTTGGTGAGAGAATTCTTTTCGATAGAAGACAGGTCGGAGGGAATGCACTCAGGCTGATAAGCGGGAAGCGCGAGAGGAATACATCAGACATCGTGATAAACGTAATATGATGTTCAAGAAGGCCGTAGCCGATAGCGATCTCGTATGCATGCTGAGAAGGTTGGTGATTGGTGGTTCAATAGGAGTGATGGTCGTTGCTCAGGGAGAAAAGGTTGCTTCTGGAGAATGAGCGGAGATTAGCTGCTGCGTGCACTGTGGAAAGAACTAACGCTAAGGTCGAGCAGATACTCGAAGAACGGCAACAGAAGGTGAGAATGATGGAGAGGGAGTGACTGAGTGGTGGTACTTGTAGGAAACTGAGATGCAAGAACGCCTTCTACGAAGGACAATATCACCATGAACAAGGAATGATATAGTCCATTTTATTAACCTTGCTGTTGAATCGTGCGTCTTGAGTTCGCTAAGTGACTAGCCTGTACAGAATGAATGAAACGGACGCGGTTGCTGTCGTGCAACACTATGAACTACAACAGTTTCTAACAGAGAAAAGACCGGACTCAGCGGCGCGGTCACTAGTGGCCTGCTGTGGGGAACACCCCGGAAATGACGAATCAAAGAGCCTAGATGATGGAAGAAGTGAATCTAAGGGTTCCATGCAGCTCATATCTCAGTTGAATTCTATCACACTATTGTATTCACAAATTTGTCAAACATTATGATCAAGTCGGAAACACAGTACTTCCAGAAGGCATATGATATTTCAACAACATTTCGCACTTGAACAAAACATCGTAAACAATACATGACAGGAATGACATCCACCGATGAGACTTGTCGTCCTACCACTCGGCCAGCCGCCGAGTGTGCATCTGAGAATGGTACTGAACGCTCTTGAAACTACTGTTATTGTGCCGACATTCAGTGGACTGAGTATTCAGTGATTGAATACTCGTGACAGGGGTGCTTTCAAACACTTCCTTTTCACTTGGTTCAACGCAACATTAGTGTTTGAACATTAAACTCTTGAAAGAACCGTTGGAGCTAAGAAATCAGAACACCGAGAAACCACTTCAATAGCTAGGTTTCAACAATTGAAACTCAACTACAAATGCCCAATCACATTTGCTGCCGAACTCCACATAGGCCATTTGCGTCCATTGGTCGCCGGTCTATGTGGTGTTGCTTGTCGCAGTCCGCCCCATGTGCACCTGACCTTCTAGTGAAGTACAGCCATCCTCGGCCGGAATACGACGGCCTGGTTTTGGCGGAGTAGAACTATCAGAGCCTGAACTGTCTTCAATCTTGATTATAGGAGTAGGGCCAGGCACCATACCAGATTCGCTGACCATAGGAGAGTTCAGGCTAACAATTCTACGATGTCTCCCAATATAGCAACTCGAATCAAACTCGTTTCAAAGTTTGAAACGATAGAAATTCGAACTGATGAGAGAACTACGTTGGTAGAATATCGTCGCGTTCCTGCACTGTAAGGGAGGGATAACACTTTCTGGAACAATACTCTATCAGCTCTTGGAGTCTCCCTGGGAGACTCTGTTTGGCCGTGATGAAACAGTTTCATTGAAACTTACCTCCTCAGCATCATCTTCGTGATTCTCCTTGACATTCTCCACATCCACTGCTGCTGCGCCGGCGGCGGCTCCTACGTCCGGTGGTGCACCTTACGGACCAGGGTCTAACGGAGCAAGGGCTTGAGGACCAGGGGCTTGTCAAGCCCTCAATGAGGGCCTAGAGCTTGAGGAGCAGGGTACGGTGCCCTTTGATCGATCGCTCAATAGGTGACCTGGGTACATATAAGGCGGATTAAGTGGTTCCCTACTCCAACAGTTGGAGTTGGAGTCCAACTACTAAGCGACTCATCAGCATCGGGACATACTTCTTAGGGTGCTCGTTAGATTGCGAGCCGATTTCCACGAGAATTGGTAGAGCGCTGAGTTAATGCAAGACTGTGCAAGTATCCAAGATTGATCAGAGTTATATTACGACGACGACTGACGCTTACAGTTACTATATAATGTATAGGAGTGTCCCTGTCTGCAACAAGATATGTGCACGGAGATCCAACGAGAGGAATAAGGAGATACACAAGCGAAAGTTGAGGGAGATGCGGTATGACTGGTGCTCTAACTCGACCTAAGATGTTTATCGAAATGAATCTATCCGTGGACCCCCACGACTCGAGATTCTCGAAAGCCCGTTCCCACTATCGTTCTATCATTCGCCTTGTCATCATCGTAGGCCTGCCATCGACACTCGGGAGCCCGAGGTGTGTCATCTTGAGCATGTACGAGTTAATGCCAAGCGTGAGCAGCTCCTCGAGGAAAGGTAGTGGAGTTCGTACACTACTTCCCATATTCAACCTTAGGTACACCGAGATTGACAGGGAGAACCGCATCTTATTGCAGGTTGGTTCTTCATTCCGGAATTACTAGAATCTGCTGTTTTCAGAAAATGTCGGATATAATGCGGCACCCATCGAGCACGATGCAAGCAGCTCAACCCGTGGGAATATCAAACTTTTCATTCAGCTCTCCATCTCCTTATTCCTCAGGTGAATCAGCCAGGGCCAGCCAGTCTCAACAAGACTGTGAGGAAACAGGAGTTAATGAGAATTACAAGGGTACCAATGTTGGGTCCAAAGGGGCGGCATCCGGTGCGTGTCAGGAGAACCAGGGGATTCTCAAGCGGATACAGAATGCCCAGCCGCAGTATAGCCACGTCGAATGGGAACAGAGTTTCCGACAGAATCGTTCTTATTTGAGGAACTGTTGTGACTTGCCGTTCGTTCTGGAAAGCCCCCGGAGACATCAGCATGATGACAGCATGATGCAGAGCTTGTCGATAGGATCTGAAGGAAGTCACTTGGGGGCGATGGAGCCAGCCGCAGACGGGAGTGAGTTGAGACCCGTCTTCAAGGAGGGGCAGAAGCTTGGCGCTGGGTGGGGGTATTACAGGGACGAGTTGGAGGAATTGTGGTATGGATTGCAGATATTATCTTGTGGAGATGTTCACCGATGGTCGGGCTCTGACTATATCCGCTTATGATGGGGAGTCTCAGCAAGCCTTAGAGCTTCTCATTAATGAGAGAAATCACCGCAGACTGTAAAATTCAACCTCATCGTGGGACTCCCACGGTGGGAGATAAGATGGTCGTGAACAGGTATGGACAAGTCGGTGGGGACTATTCGAAATTGGCCGCCCGATTGAGTATCCAAGGACGTCAGCTCGTCCTGTTGCCATACGGCACTACACAACCCCCATCTGGGGTATCAAAAAAAGTACTTCTCCTCCTTGTATGGCGCTGTCAATTGACTCTTATCAGGAGACCCAAGCTGAACAGGGCGAATCTCTCACGGCTGATGATATGGTAAGCCATTATCTTCAACGAGGCACCGCTGTCCCTACCGATAGTAGGCGAATAGGCGTCTTTCAGATACGACCATCCGGTGCCTACGTCCCCATTGAGACCGCTGGTATGGTATACAGATGGTCAGACACGACAGTGCAATGTGTTCAGGTCACGTTGAATTAGAAGTGAGCCCACCAAGCTCGTCAGCTGCTAGTAGAGCCCCAAGGGTATACGTGAGAGGCCTTACGCCCAGCACACCCAGTGTGCGGTCGGGCTATAACTAGGCATGATAATGTAACGAAGTTGTTGCATGTTTGAAACTTGTGTTCTGTGGAGTTGAATACGAACTACGTGGTCAATCGCGCATGGATTATTTGCATAAATCGATGTTGCTATGGAAGAGGGAGATTTGGTTTGACCATACCCTACTACTAACAACCATCGATATGCAGAGCGTTAGCGTCCGCTGTTCCGAACACTGTGTGTAGAATAAATCAAGTAAACCTTATCAATCTACATCTTGACCACTCACTCAGCAGCTCGGTGCTTCGTCGAACGCAAGAAACTCTTTATTAGTAGTAGCATAAGTATCAGTTATGACAACGTACACAGTAACATTACAGGGCGAGGATGGGGAGCCTAGGGGGAATGGTCACTGTCGTGAAAGCCTTGGCTCCTTCAATATTCGACCCTCGTACAGCGGCATTCTAAGTAGATGAAGGCATCGATTATGACTGCGCGCCACACAACTATCAGTGCGATATAAAGGACTCTGCCAGGCTGGAAGCGATGTAATCATAGGGAGGCACTATCAGGTCCACAGATTCACGGGGCATGTTAGATAAGTTGATACAGTTGTACATCTGACACGGTGGACGAGCCAGCTGAGATTGTTAGGGTATAGCGGATCTATAATCTTGGAGTTTCATATTGGGTGTGACTGCTTTTTCCAATCGTAGTGTATATACGTACATCATCTTATTTGTATCGCATATTTATGTTATCAGCCGAGCATTGATCCTCATGCTCACTACGTTGTACTGAGATTGGAACACCCTAACCATCTTGGCTCAAGTCCGTTGGGTTGGCTCAATGTTCAACGCCCTCAGAACCCTCAACATGCAAGTAGCGGATGGAGAAGCCTCTGGAGGAGTTCATCCATACTCTCTGTCTCCGATGACCGAACGGTACTAGTTAACACGAGGTTTGATGGTTGGAATGAAATGTTGGGATTCAGGAAGTGATCATCAACACAGCTCTTGAACCCATCGTAGTTGTTATGGTACTGTTAATCATGTATATCGATCAATGGTACAAAATGCAGTAGTAGTGATAGCGTCTCCTCATCATAGTCATTCCCAGCCCCTTCAGCCCTCCATCCCAAACTGAGTCGTCCATTCCTCCTGTTTGGCCACGTCCTGAGGCCCAACCGATGGACGGGCATTCGATAGAGCTACTTGAAAGTCAACCCGAGAGACCTGAGCAAACGACATACCACCACAGTGCCATACCACACTTTGAGCACCTTAGGGGGGAGTAGTTCAGAGCTTTCAATGTCCATCAACCTCATCTGCCGATTGGTGCTATCAGCATCACCAGGACTACATGGGGTCCACAACCTGCACCAAACGCATACACGATTACCAGGGTTATCAATAACTACTTCTTTCCATCCTTCGTGACTCTCTTGAAGTGAGTAGCCTGACTACACCTCCTAATCGGTTGCATCAGGGCATCTCGAACCAATACCCCGATGTCTGCTCCCGAGAATCCATCAGTCCTGACCAACACTCGGTATACACACAAGACGAACCTCGGCCACTATTTCATTATTACTCCTGTGCTAATTTAGATATGTCCTTTTTTGTGAGCTCATGAGGCGTATCCCCTATACTCAGCTCGAACAGTCTAATCCTAGCTTGGACATCTGGCAGAGGTATGTAGATCCTCCGCTCGAATCTGGTCATATCATAACAGCAACAAATACCCCACAATTCGATCATCGCCCGCCTACCTTCTTCGAATAGCCGCGTCTAGGTCCCATGGGCAGTTAGTGGCTCCTAGGACCAACACTTGGCCCACACTATCGCTCCCAACTCCCTACCAAAGGCCATGCCCAAGCCGAGCGTGCTATGCACTACTACTACTTGCATTTGGACCAAAAACTCCGTCTTGATTCGCCGAGTTGCATCGTTTTCACCCGAGTCCCGCGAGCCACACAGAGAGTCGACCTACAACGTTTCCATCCACACACATCCTCAACACTCTTCCAAACCTCATCAATGAAGATAATAGCTGACTTCTCAGCCCTCGCCATCTCGAACAAAGACCTCACCAGCTTCTCCGACTCGCCCATCCATTTTGAAACCAAATCTGATCAACTCTCACCGACCAGACCACATGGAGACCCCCACCCGAGCTGGATACGCTGAAGAACGTAGCCTCGGCCTCGGTGGCGCATGCCTTAGCTAAATAGGATTTACCAGTCCCAGGAGGATCATACAAAAGGATACCCTAAGTAGGTACCAATTCCATATTTTCAGACATGATGACCAACTACTTTCCACGGCTTGCGTTTCCCCGTGAAAAGCTGTGGGAATTTGGTCGGTAAGATGACAGTCTCCTGTAGACTAGCCTTGGCCTGGTCCAAACCGGACACATCACTCCAATGAACGTTGGGTTTCTCACTAATTATAGCGCCTACACTCGATATCCAACATGGCGATATTCACGCTACTACCTTCAAGAGCTTTCTTCATTTTATCCATCTCGGGGTTGCCCTTACCTTGTTGCGGACCGCCCTCCTCAGGACCTTTATTCTCATCCCCACTATCAAGAGGCCTTTGCATCCCCGCAGTACCTGATAATGCCAGCCTAATAATGAGCTCTTTTGAAGATGGATAGGACCTGCGTTGCCAGGCTGAGGGGAAGTGGACGTTAACTGCATTTGTTCCAAATACCTGTGGGAGTGGCTACACCGAAGATTGAAGTTCAAAGAGGAATGGTACTTCTTGATTTCCTCGGCCCTATTCATGTATTCGGTAATCTTTGTAGACAAACGGGACTTCACGGCCGGATTCACTTCATCTAATTCAAGAAGTCCCGATAGCTCAACTCGATATACCGTCAACCCTCCCATCGTGAGGATGCGCGATCGAACCCTGGAGCCTTACATTTATATATGAGCATCCAATTATCCAAGCTAAGTGTGTACATATCAAGCGCCTCTTGATACCTCCACAAACAGCAAAGATACGCTCGCCCCGAAAACCTTTGCTGTGCGCAAAGCCGAACCTACTTCCCCACTCGATCCAAGGCAGTGGCCTGATGAGCAAGCTCTATGGCCCGCTTCATCCGAGTGTCGTCCAGCATAGGAGTCTATACGAGAGAAAGGGGTGATACCGAAAACAACAAAGCTGACGATCGCATGCTCTCCTTCCCTTTCGATAAAGGCGGTTCATATTTCCCCTGTAATGCGTCGTACTAGGCAACACTCCAATGAGGCTCAAGGACACATTACCAACACTCACAGCAACATACGCCGAAAACGCTGTCTTAATGGTGAGTGAATATTGGAATATCGTCATCCTCACAAGATGCTACTCATTCATTGAGTAGATCCAACTATGGAGAATGTACGCTTCGAATAATAGTAGATTCATGTCACTTCTCTTTATCCAGCACAGTCTTCCCGCTACAACCAGTCACATTAATAAGAACAAGAATTCTGACTTCAACAGTGACAGTCATTAATCTAGTCTTGGCTTGGCTTCCTCTAGCCACGTTACACTTCCACTAGAAGATGTAACACGATAAAAGATTTTTGCAGACCAATATCGGCCCTCTTTGAATATCAACTACTATCACTATATAATCTGGTGCTCTTCACTAGCACACTACCCTCTCTCAATATGAGACCTGGTGGGAAGACTGGTATAGCCCGAGGACTTCATCGCAGGTAGTATTATCACGATCAGCTACTTCATAGCACCTCTCACTCGAATCATTCTATAACAGCAGTAGTTCAACATCGATCGAAATAAGGGTCTCTTTTCGTATACACCCATCCGAAAGCCTCAAGATCCTCCCATACCCCCAACGCTACTGACTAAACCAACATAATGCCTAGGTAATCAAGGAAACCACGACTACTCCACAAGTGTGTACTCTAGCCCGATCCTGTGGTCGCCGATAACAATGTAGGGACCTAAACGCGTCCATCGACCACACCAATTCACCACCAGTTACCGTTGGTGCCGGGAGTCTGTCAATAATCGTCTGCACTTCAGCTGTAGAAAGACTGCATAAAAAGTGATAACACGACACGAGCCCAACGCCCACTAGTACGTCTTGAAAGCGCTATCTTTAGCAATCCCGACTTCCACATTGATCTCAGTGATTTTCTCCTCCATTACTTGCCGTAATACCACCAACGCTAAATCCTCAGCCTACTACCCAAATACCAACTCCTCCACCACTACGATGATGTTACCTCTTTCAGGGTCATACTCTCTTTAAATTGTTCTAATAGAAGACTTGTTGCCCCCTCAGCGGCCGAGCCAATAGCAGCAGCACGGTATCTTAGGTTCAACGTGGCACTCAACAGATGATGCAGTGAATACTACTTCGTATAAGAACCACTAGGGTCAGCCATGAAGAGTTGAGGACCGTTATCAGAGTCCACACCAGCTACCAACAGGGCTACACCAAAAGGTCGGGACATAGTCTGAAACATATGTTCAATACCACACTTCTTGGAACAGCATAGGAACACTACCACTACTACTGTTACTACCTTCTTCTTCTTGTCGCCTTTCTTCTTCTTATCGTCCGATCTCGAGAAGTCTAATGCCATGTCAGATATGCTGTGCACCTTCACCATATGATCATACCCTTTACCGAGACTATGCCGTTATTACAATACTCTCAACCTGCATGGGCTCATTGTAAGTGAAGTCGTGGTTCAACGCCTCCACACGAGCATGGTCCACCAGAGTCCTCGCATCAGCGGTCAATCCAGACATAGCGCATCCGACATGAGGGGCTATCTGAAACCAACGACTACTTAATCACTCACAGATACTTATATAAATAAACCATGTTGATACTCTATAGACTATTGCTCCTGATTATTAAATTACCAAGTACTGGTATTTCTACATTTGAGTAGTAATACAGCAAAAGATATATATTAATATTATATCGAAAAACTACACCATATAAATTTTTATAATTAGCATAGCACTCGGGCTTTCCCATGTAGTCAACAATCAACTCAAAACACACCTTTCCTTACCTGCATGATCTTCTCGATGCTACTAGGCTCAATAAGAGGACCTACAGACAATACCACGTACGCGACAACATTACTACTAATACTACTACTACTACTACTACTACCCAACAAGTACTTACTTCCTATCCTTTTCTCTACAGCCAACACCACTCCCTCCTTTGTAGTAATACCAATTGCCGTAGAACCCAGCTAAACCCAAAGGCGTTGAAACCAACAATAACTTACTATCACTCTTATCATTACCTTCACGGCTTCTATCGCGTATTCAACTTGGAAGAGGCGACCCTCAGGGGAAAAGGTGTTCACGCCACGATCGTATTCACTCTTACCACCAAATGACATCACAAGTGAGAACACAAAAGTTTCACAAAACTTATCAACAATTTCGTGGCGCGTGACGGTAGTCCCCCCAGTTCGACACTCAACTCAAGCCGTCTGCGGTAGTCTTTGAGATACGTGGCAGTCACCGCAGCATAACGAGATACCAATACTAGCAAGAAGGAGTGAATAACGCAAATAGGTTCATCATCAGTGGCAACCATCACCGAATGGTCCCAACGCTTATATGCATGCAAGTACCAATCACTTCTACTATTAATGGCACCAGGACAGGCCTCAACGACCACTCTCAAAAAGACGTCGTCATTTACAAGTCATCGTCATCATCATCGATGGCCTGGTCCTGAGCGGCCTGCAGCTCCTTCTCATGCTGAGCGACCAGCTCAGGGTTGATCTGGAACTCCGGCGCCTTAGCGAACTCGCCCTAAACGATAACAACGATACCATGTACCTAGTAGTAATAATAATCGCAGTTACCTGGAAAACGAGCTGAGGCTGGTTGGTGAGGCGGCGGGCGAGCCATAGGAAGGGTTTCTCGAAGTTGTAGTTAGATCTAGCTGACAGATCGTAATACTGCAGATTACGCTTACGGTGAAACTGGATATTACGAGCCTTCACCTGAGACAGATGATGATGATGAAAGGGCTGTTGAGGAAAGGGTAGGACACTTACCTGACGGTCTTTAACATCAACCTTGTTACCAACGAGCACAATAGGGATGTTTTCGCACACTCGGACGATATCGCGATGCCAGTTGGGGACATTCTTATAGGTAATACGAGAGGTAACATCAAACATGATGATGGCGCACTGACCCTGGGGAGAAAAAGACTATCACCTCTGTAGTACTAGAGTAGTACCTGGATGTAGTAGCCATCACGAAGACCACCGAACTTCTCCTGACCAGCCGTATCCCAAACGTTAAAGATAATCTCACCACAGTTGGTCATGAACTTCAAGGGATGAACCTTAGCACGCATACACATAAAATGTTCCCCATCTGGACCTCAAGATACCATTACCTCAACACCCAGTGTAGGGATATACTTCTTCTCGAATTCACCAGTCAAATGCCTCTTCACAAGAGTAGTCTTTCCAACACCGCCATCACCAACCAGAAGAAGCTTGAACTCAGGAGTGCCAGACATCAGTAGTATATAACTTACAATCTTAAAGGCAAGTGTTCACCAACACATAATCGTTACTATGGGCGACGAAGCACGAGGAGGCAAGAAGCACACGTAACCGTTAACGTTTATGGGCGAAACACTCCGACGTATAGCCAATCGGGCGCGCGCTATTCGCATTGTGACAGATATACCGACGATTATACGCCATAGCCCAACTCGACAACTCGAATGTGACATTAACCACAGCATAAGTTACTATCACTAATGAGGAGTGTTGGCGAGTTTATTCAGTATCCCTTGCCGTCCATCACCATCCGAGGCATGTCATGTGTAGTAGACACCTGTCCTCAGCTACCTCCACCTTTTCCGTTCTAACAATGGCACTATCATTGCTAGGACGAAAAAGGTAGAGGTACATTCACAACTGCAAGATCGGTCTCCTACCCAACGCAACAGTCTCGAAAAAGGAAGTAATGTTATCGGTAGGTGTCTGCAAAGGACTATATAGTGTAACATTGCGCAGCGCCTCAGTCGTTTCCACAGTAGATAGAAGCAGGAGATCTGCAGCAAAGGCAACTTCGATGCCCGAATAAAGAGCAGATAGCAGTGAAATCAGCGGGCCTTGATCATATCAAGTAGCCAAGAATGGGCATCGGATGCAAACCCCAGGGCACCTAAAACATCACCAGGAGTTTAAGCGATTAGTAGAATAATGACATGAATCGGCCACCCTTAGCATGTTGGGGAAAATGCCAAGTAATAGAGACCCTCACCTTACACTCAGGAATGCCGCTAGGCTTACAATCTTACGCCTCAGACGTATGTGTTAAAGACTTCTAACAATCCAAAGCGCGTATAATCTTACACTGTACAGTAATAACAGGTTATTCAATCAGGCGTACAGTTAAGAACTCCTGGAGGTATCCCTGCTTACACTGGGTATATCCTAATCGCAATATGAGGTCGCAATGAAACACTATTAGTAAGACTATGCCCACACGCTTGGCGATAGCACGATACTGAACAGGGAACGGCCATGGCTAGTACAGAGACTCTTAATGGTGAACTTTACCAGAGATTTTTCGACTTTTTTCGAGGCTGGTTTGGCCTCATCTTCGGACTGTGATGAGGACCCCGTGAGATTCAACTTGTTCATTGTGAACCATGTGATGCCCGCAGCTCCCAGAGCGGCCACAAACAGACAGAACGCGCGGAATGGACACATTTATACAACAACAAAATACACCTACCAGGGATCGAACCCGCGACCTCTGCAATCCAACGACATCACTACCACTACAAAAACTGTCACTAATAAAACAAACCAGTCTAAGCCAATGCTCAAATGCAGGCGCTGCTGTCACCAACTCCACTGTATTGATTGAACTCCCCATGGATCACACTAGCCACCAAACGCCCATGCCTGACCGCCCATTCAGTAGCTTCCGGAGGGTCCTCGCTAGGCAACGGCTGGGGACAAAGGACATACCTTTGCAACGATGCTAGTATCTAACACGTAGTCATCGCGCAAACGCCCTCAGAGTGCACCGAGCGGCTTTTGCCCTATACTACGATACCGTGGCACAACAGGCAATATACCCAGGGACAACCCGAGAGCATTCACACGGACTCCAAACCGAACTAGAAATACCCCTGAGTGATTCGATTCCACAAGGGACCCCTTGAGTGGACCTCATCCGAACCAACAACACGTATGCAAAGGTCAATATCACTCGGTTAGTGCACTGACTATTCGAAATCCTGATGCTATGCAGCCAAACGTTGAAAGAAGCAGACCAATGGGGTTCATTAAAGATACATTTTATTTATTCATATTTTGTGCCATTTACATACCATAATATAAATATGTCGTTATTTGCATAACATCATTACATCCCCAAAACTTCGACATAAATCGGGTATAATACTAATTTTCTCAGTATTTTGTTAACCAAATGGGTGAAAAAATTCAATTTGTCGCAAAAAAATCGATTTGACCCGGGAATGCTGCAGATAAAATACACATATCAGAGCACCTTGGTGCTTCCAACATCAAAATGTCCATCAAAAAACCATGGCCTCTGTTCTGAGGATGAGCCCATGGCTCTTCTAATAGAATCTGAACTTTCACTATTCCCTTTGGGACTGCTTTCGTTAAGTCTATATCTTACTAAACTGCTCTGGAATACTAAAATTCCGAAACTATGTGTATAGGCATCGTTCCATAGCAGTACTGCCATCACAGTGAGCGCCACACGTTACCGTCTTACTGATTGCATATCACTCGCAGTACTAGCCGTTAAGGGATGTTGTATCCTCAGCATTAATGCATAACACCATATACACCACTGGACGAAGGTGAGCTCCGATTCTCCACAACTCCGCCGACGCCGACTATGAGAGCTCCTCTGAAACCAACATAAGGCTAACATAGAAATTATTAAAGACCTTCCGAGAAGAACTACTCAGAAACACACACCTGCAGAGAACTCCACTACTTTCGAATGTCAATGTTGAGATATATATGCTCGCTTTCCTCACCTGAGGAGTTTCCTCACAAAATATACAAGTTTATATACGACTCCGGATAAAGTGTACAGAAACCAGTGAGAATTTCCTAAATTTCCCATATTGTCACCAATACATGTAGTTGACCATGGGCGTACGTTCCCACACCGACGAATGCCGCGATCAGCCAACGACCCCTTCCTCACAAAAAGATGCTCAACCACATGTGTTGGTGGCAATATCAAGACTCTGAGGAAATTTTCGGAAATTTTCTTGTTAGTTTCCGCACACTGTATATTCTCCTAATTCGTATATAAACTCCTATGATAAGTGAGTATTGAGCTCATGTGGGGAAAGCGAACATTTCTCGCAACACTGAACCAGACAGTGGTACGCCAACAACTCACGAGATCATATCGTGCTCGCCATGAGAAGTAGCGCACGTCTGCGAGACACGTGAATCCACGTGACGTGACGTCCGCGGTGACGTGACACCTTTTCCGTCTTGCCTTCCTCCCTTCGTTCGCTCTCCTTCGCTCTTTCCAACCTTCCTCAAGGTTGTTGCGTTCTGGCAATTAACTGGTGCCCAGACCCAGGATCCAGAGCATGTTTTCTCCGCATGGCCAGGCCTCTCCTCAACATGAGGATAATTCAGCTACAAGTGCTAGACGTGATGAGCCTCCTATAGTGGCGGCTACAGCGGGAGCTCAGTTGCCCCCTGGTGTCCACACTCACGGCGTATCCGCCTCATCCTCTACGGCTCGCTCACCGGCTCGTCCGGGTTTTGCAGCCAAGTCTTCCGCAGCAGTTCCACCTGGTCCCTCCAGGCCTGCTCCGCTGACACTCGATATCCCTCGTCGCCGGTCGCCTCCACCACCGCCGTCCCCATCGCTAGGCAAGCACGCCAGCGTTCCAACTCCGGGTAGTCAGGAGTTCACAGCTGCAGTCGCAGCTACGCAGTACGGCCAGTCCTTGGTAGGCTCAGATCATCATCAAGCTGGTAGTCTCAAGAGATACGCTTTCAACTGGGACGGCTCCTCCAAGGGACAGACTGATGTTGAGGAGTTCTTGGACAAGCTCAACATCATTGCTACCGGGCTTCGACTGTCCGACGAAGCTACTCTCTGTTTGCTGACCCTCAGTGTTACCGATGGAGCCTATGCCACCGTCAGCTCGCTCCTGGGGCGGTCCACGGAGTCCGCCTCGAGTCGGCTGAGCACAGTCAAGGCCTAGCTCCGTCGGCGCTATGGAGCCACTTCGGTGAAGTCTTTCAAGGACCTGTCTAAGGTTCTGTTGACTGATTTCGACTCTATTGATGCGCTCGCTGTCAAGCTCCGCAAACTGACGATTCAAGCATTCCCAGCTCTCAACGCCGACGCTGTCGACCAGGTCTGTAAGATGCACTTTTTCTCTCTGCTGCCAGAGAATCACAGTGCTACGGCTCAACTACTCCCTTCCGTGCTGGATACCAGCAAATCGACGGCCCAACTGGTTCATCTTGCTCGTCATTCTTTCGAGGATTTGATGACTCAAAATAAAACCTCACGCATTCTAGCCTTAGCACATACTGGTAAAGGGAAGGGATTTGGCGGCAAGAGTCGCGGTTTTGGTAAAGGCAAAGGTAAAGGCCGATTTGGTCTGCAGAAGCCCTTCAGTAAGCCCTTTTGCGACTTTTGTGATAGACAGGGTCATCATACTGCGCAGTGTCGCAAGTTGAAAAAGGTAAAACAAACCCTCGCTGATTCAACAGCTCCCCCAGTGACGACCGGCCAGGTGCCCAACAATCCTTGATTAGTAAGCGGTACGCTGATGAGTCCGGCCTAACTCTAATCCCACAAGAGACTGTTTACTGTTCTTTGACTACTTCATT